AATTATGTTGCAAACATGGTGATGTAAGCAGCTATTCAAAATTAGAGTTTATGATTTTACCCACTGGAAGCAAAACAACAATGCTGAATACTGAAAACAGATTAAACGACAACCAAGTGCTAGGTGATGTCAATGGAACTAACGTATGAGTGAGGCTTGCAGGGTTTCAGGGATCAGGCCCTTAGTTTACTACCTACTAACACTTTGAGTTTCTCTTGGGACACTGCTTTTCAGGCAATAGTCCTTCCGTTTGTACTGTACTGTTCAGAAACACAGAACGAAGGTGCAAGAAAGAAATCTGATAATGGACTAGCCTCGCTGTTGGTAAAGTTTCTGCCTAACCCTAAAGCTTGGGAGTATACTTTACAACCTTGCTTATAAGCTTAAAGTTGGAGAGTTTTATACTTTTAGCCTACCCTATTTTTGTTTCCTCTCCCAAGTGTAGGGCTTCATATGTATATTAGCACTGAACTTTATCTCTGTGAAACTTATAAAAAATAACAGATTTGTAAAATTCTTTCAGATTCTGTCTACAGCAGAGGTTCTCAAATTGGAGGTCAGGACCCCTCAGGGGGTTGCAAGGTTATTACATGGAGGATTGCGAGCGGTCAGCCTCCACCCCAAATACCGTTTTGCCTCTGGCATTTCTAACTGTTAAATATTTTAAAAATGTGTTTTTAATTTATGGGGAGGGGGGTCACACTCAGAGGCTTGCTGTGTGAAAGGGGTCGCCAGTACAAGAGTTTGAGAACTACTAGCCTACAGGAGGGAGTCTACAATCCTGCTGTTAGGGTGCCAATGCCTGAGATGATGGGGCGTCCAGGATTTCCAGGTTTATGGATCTTGGGTAGCATACAGAATACCCCAGATCGGGGTTCCAGGGGTATGTCTGTGCGGATTTGTTCTTGTGCCCGAGTAGGGAGTCTACATAGTTTGTTGTTACCCAGATACAGATTTTAAAGATAAATATGGTTTTAATAAAAGGAGGGTGTCCCTGGGCTCTCTGAATGTAATAATACATATACATAGGCTCCATGTAATCCCAACAGTAAATGAGAACTCTGTTTTCTTTAAATATGAATACACTGATGATAGCCTGAACCATTGGGAAGCCAGGTATTAGGCTGAAGATGACCTAACTGTGCGGCCACGGGGAAACAGCTTATAAGAAACAAAGCAAGGCAGTCTATTCTATATTCTATTCTAGATAGGATTTCATACTCCAGTCCCAAAGACATTTAGAGACCCAGTGCTTTTCTCAACACTTGAAAGAACTGCCCAAGCACCTTCCTAATGCAAAGCAGCTGCCCCAGAGCTTGATACCACAAGCTTTATTATAACACTTAAAGGAAAATGAATAAGTCACCTGATCTGCTTGCTCAGTGAAGGAGTCCGTCATTTTCACAACAACATTGGCATTAGCTTCTTCATTTTCTGCTAGGTCAATGCTGGCAACCCACTGATAACAACAAACAAGGACAACAAAGAGAGTTTTAATTTTTAAATGGATCATTTATCAGTAAATAACTACATTTTTTAAAAGTATTTAAGGAGCCAGGCAGTGGCTACCATGATAATTATTCTCTAATAACAAAGTCTGTACTTTGCCCACTTCACAGCTGGGGTGAAAAACCAATGCACTGGATGATTTGCAAAGAAGGCAGCAATTGGCCAGCTGCAAACTAGCTGCCGAGCTTTACTCCTTCGCGGGGAGGAAGCCTTCCTCCTCTTTGGGGATTAGCTGCTGCCAGGAAGGGCTGAAAATCTCTTCCTCTGGCAGGAGAGAGAGGAGTTCGCTCTGAGTCTGGGCGAGATTTACACGGGCTCGTCAGTTTCCGGAGCTCTGCGATTCACAGGTCACTGCACGGGGGAGAGCCCTGGCCGCTGGGCCGAAGCAACGCAGAGCGGTGCAGGGCTGCGATACACTGGAGAGCGCTTCCTCCCCAGGCAGCTGCTCCCAGAACACACCCCAAGCCATACAGCAATGGCACCAAGTGCCCAGCCCGCTCTGCCGGTGGTTACCCAGTGCTTGGCTCTGAAATACTGCACGCATTTGGCTCCCAGGGCCCCTCTGCCTCCGTACACCAGCACCCTGTGCGCCTCCGCCGCCGCTGCCATGCTCCGGCCGCCGCCCGCCCGGCTCCCTCTCGCCTTCTGAGCTTGCGGCTGCCACGGGTTCCGGAGCCCGCCCAGCCCAGCAGCTCCGCCTCCCTGCCGGGCCGCCGGACCAGAGGCAGAGGGGCCCCCTTCGCTTCCCGCTTCCGCGCTCGCCACCGCCACCTAGGCTGGCTGAGAAGCTGCGCGGGGTCGGGACGCTGCACCAATTCCCACGGGACAGGGCTCAGTACAAGGTGGCCCTGCGGCGGGGGGCCTTCGGTTTAAGTTCCAGGCATAAAAAAGGCATAAATTGTAAGGTGTAACCTGTCTTTAAGCTAGGTTTCAGAGTAGCAACCGTGTTAGTCTGTATTCGCAAAAAGAAAAGGAGTACTTGTGGCACCTTAGAGACTAACCAATTTATTTGAGCATGAGCTTTGGTGAGCTACAGCTCACTTCATCGGATGCATACTGTGGAAAGTGTAGAAGATCTTTTTATATACATACAAAGCATGAAAAAATACCTCCCCCCACCCCACTCTCCTGCTGGTAATAGCTTATCTAAAGTGATCACTCTCCTTACAATGTGTATGATAATCCAGTTGGGCCATTTCCAGATTTGTGCTGGAAATGGCCCAACTTGATTATCATACACATTTTAAGGAGAGTGATCACTTTAGATAGGCTATTACCAGCAGGAGAGCGGGGTGGGAGGAGGTATTGTTTCATGGTCTCCGTGTATATAATAAGATCTTCTACACTTTCCACAGTATGCATCCGATGAAGTGAGCTGTAGCTCACCAAAGCTCATGCTCAAATAAATTGGCGAGTCTCTAAGGTGCCACAAGTACTCCTTTTCTTTTTGTCTCTAAGCTGTTTTAAATCCTGCGCCCCAGTCTCCCTGTGTCCCTATTTAAAGCTTCAAATAAAACTCTGGGCTTCTCCACCCCCTTGTAATCATTGGTGCAAGGCACACCAAACAACAAACCCTGCTGTTGCTTGCCTGGGGCACTCTGTGCCGGCAACGGTGGTTTAAATAAGGACGCCCGGTTGCACACCATGGATGGATCTATCAAATGCTGCTGAGACAGCGCTGTGCAACAGAGTCCTTGTATAACGCAGGCGGAATGTGCATTCTCGATCATTTCCCTCCCTTCGGTGGATTGCCTTTGCGCTCCTACACAGATTTCCCACGCGGCTAGGCGTCGTTGTAGACTAGTGGCAGCAGCAGAAACTTTCTTATTTTAGTTAAAAATAAAAGGGTCTTTCAAGCAACACGTTAATGCCCCAATACAAGGAAAAGCCAGCGTGCAAATGGTGCTGGAAATTCAGGAGGAGACAGTCACTCAGTACTAAGCCAGTGCCCAAGAAGCATGTTTGAGAGCACTGTGCTGTGGTGGACAGTACTGTCTTGTGGCTGGGATGTAAAACCAAGTTCCCCCCAATCCCTCATGGTCACTACTGGCCCCACATTGCACTTCATGTAAAAATAAAGGCATCTTGGTCAAACTCCAACTCAAATCATTACATCCTACTTAAATGTCTATCGCATATTCAATGAACCTATATCCCTATATGTTAATTTACCAACAAAATGCAGATACCTCTGATGACAGCAGCTGTTAAGCAGAACACTACATAATAACTTAGGGCAGGAAATGTTTGTTCCTTTTAATAAATTTGTCAGGTGATCTTATTCTCTGATGATGGGCACGGTATAAGAATATGTACATATAGATTAGATAAAAGAAGATTAAGTAACCAACTGAATCTGCAGGTGAAATTTAGGTCCACTGTAATTAACTGAGTTGGAATGTATTCAGGACTCCAGGATTACCCTCCTTACTTCCGCAAATAGTGCTATATGGGACCTTCACTGACGATAAATGATCAAGGCTTTGGTTTTGTATTTTACCCAACAGACAGCAGTACCTTTGGCAGCACTAGTGCCCCTCCACAACTTGTTTAGGCACTAGTCAGAGAAGTATTATGTTACCTACTTTACAGGGATGCTGGGAGAATTGATTAATTAATGATTGCAAAGAGCTTTGAGGTCCTTTTGTAAAAGTGCCTATAGACATGCAAACTATTTTTTTACAGTGCTATCTAGTAGAACTTCTGGCATGTACAGTGGTGGCTGTTTCTGCACATGTTTACAATAGCAAGTTGCTGGTATATGTTAAATAAGGCTGGCATTGTGCTTCTCCAAGCCACAACAACTTGCTTTGCACCCCATTTTATATAGAAGATTAATCTAATAAGGCTTGGCATCCCGAAACATAATTTATACACTTCAATTAACAGGCTTGGCGAATGGAGGGTCATCATTTTGTTGTTTACAAACACTTCTGGTGGCTGTGACAGTAGTGACATTTAGAAAAAGTGGGACCGCAGCAAGCACCAAGGGAAAGACATTTGATACAGCTTCGGTGTCAGCAGAATTCTGGTGCCAATTTTTTTTTCCACGCTACGTCCCATTCACACAATTTGTTTAACTTTTCTTTATAATTCATACAACTGAATTGTGCATCTAAATTTCTCCTACGTGATCATTGTCAAGAAATTGGTGTCATTTGAATATTTAAAACAGGGAACAATTAAACCCTCTGATGAAACATTAGTCGTGCAATAGAGATAGGATTACTTTCTGCAGAAACAAGCACCACTGTGCTACAGTGTAATGAAGTTGTTCTTTGCAACCATTTCAGGATGTTGTTGCAGCAAATCTATACTTTGGGCTTGATTTTTAACTGTGCCTCTGAAGTTTTAAAATACAATGAGATTTAAAGGGTGTGTGTGGAATAACTGGCATCTTACCACCTGTGGATTTCTGAGCAGTAGCAAAATGTGAAACTCATCTAATTACTGCAGAGCGGCCTTGGATATGATTTCTTGAAACTACTAGGATGCCCAACTGCTTTAAAAAGACCTTGTTTGCCTTGGCTTCTGCATTGAGTTTTGTGTCTTTTCTCTTGATTGTCATTGCTATGGGGATCCAAAAGTGGATGGCTGGCAAAATCCTTTGTAAAACAGGAGCTGATTTGGTCAACGCCACAGATCCAGAGCTAGTCAAGTTCATTGGAGATATTCACTATGGACTCTTTCGGGGGGAAAAAATACGACAATGTGGTTTGGGTGGACGGCTTTCCAAATTCACAAGTAAGTAAAGTTTTGGTTGAATATATAAATAAATTCTAAGAGCATTGTAAGTCCTTTTGTTTGTAGTACCCATAGAATAGGAATAGTTATTGAACTCACATCTATGGCTCAGTTTACTTGGGGCTTTTATGGTTCTGAAATATGAGTGAGAATTTTAAAAAACAAACATTTAGTTATGTTCTTTGGTACAACCTTGTATCACTGCATAAGCAAGATAAGAAAAATATTCCTTAATTATTATGGGATAGACTGAGAGTTTCCTTTAAATTCTGTGTTGGGCCTGTGTGTATCTCTGTGCCACCCTAGGAGGAGTTCTGGGAAGGAACTGTGACTCAGAGACACCCCTCCGAGACAGGATTGTCTTAGAGCTCCTATTTTACATGGGGGAAGAGGAAGTATGTTGTGTAGGTCAACTACCCTTCCAGCTGACTCCAAAGGCTGTAACAGGGGAAGGAGCCATGGCTCTGCCTGCTCCTTGACACTCTCTTCTTCCACCATGCCCAGCTGCTTGTGGGAGGGAATACTGGCATACAGCCCCTGCTCACTCACTTGCCCATACCTGAGCTCAATATCTGGGTAGATTCTGCTCAGGGGAATGGAGGAAGGGGCAACTTTATATCCCCTTAGTCCCCTGCTCAATCATGTAGGGCTAATTCAATCCTTAATAAATACAGACTTTCTCATCAGTTGCTATGCAACCTGAAGGGGAGTGCTATAATTGCAGAGTGACTACTGGAATACATGGATATTATGCCCAAAGGGTCTGATCCTACAGTGCTTACGCAAACCAAACTCCAATTAAAATCAGCGGGAATCTTCCCTGCTAGGACTGCAAGATCGGGCCCTCACAAATTCTGTAAATGAATATGGTATCGAGAGTTCCTTTTTTCAAAAAATGTAGATTTATGAAATCTTTAGTTAGATACTGTGGGCAAACACCTGTTCTCCCCTTGAGGGGTTGCCTATGCTGGGTGTGGCAGGCTGGCAGGCACTCCAGAGCCATTTTGCCAGTGTGCAGCATACACAGGTAGAACACCTCAGGAGGCCCTAGGGGACCACACTTAATAAGGACCCTTCTCTCTATTGCTGTAGAAACAGGAATTGAACAGACCCCCAAACCCAGTGACCTCAGAGTACTGTGTGGTGGGTTATCTGCCCTCATCCCTTGATGAGGACGCACAGTGATGAGGATGCACTTTTCATCCTCTTTCCTTCCTCCCCGCACAAATCTGAAGGCTTAGTTGGAATTTTGCCCTGTACATTTTGTCCTTATGCCCTCTCCCCTAATAAACTGCTTTATATTAGTGCTCCCAGTATCACACCGACAGTGTGTGCCACAGAACACCCTACCATGATAATTATTCTCTAATAACAAAGGATACTAGTTTCCGTCTCCACACTGCTCAGGCATCCTCCTACCTCCCCCACTCTTCTTCCATCTGTTGGTCCTGTTTTTCCTTAGGCTCCAATTTATAGCAAAGCCTGGCAGTATGGTGATTAGTTTTTTAACCCAATTAACAACCCAAAAATTAAATAAATGGAAGCATAAACTTTAAAAATACACATGCTTGAAGAGCACTGAGTTTTTCAGAGTAATCCAGTCAACTTGGGTCTATGAAGGCATGGACACCTCAGAGAAGTGGAAGAGTTGCATAGAATCATAGAATATCAGGGTTGGAAGGGACCTCAGGAGGTCATCTAGTCCAACCCCCTGCTCAAAGCAGGACCAATCCCCAATTAAATCATCCCAGCCAGGGCTTTGTCAAGCCTGACCTTAAAAACTTCTAAGGAAGGAGATTCTACCACCTCCCTAGGTAACGCATTCCAGTGTTTCACCACCCTCCTAGTGAAAAAGTTTTTCCTAATATCCAACCTAAACCTCCCCCACTGCAACTTGAGACCATTACTCCTTGTCCTGTCCTCTTCTACCACTGAGAATAGTCTAGAACCATCCTCTCTGGAACCACCTCTCCAGTAGTTGAAAGCAGCTATAAAATCTCCCCTCATTCTTCTCTTCTGCAGACTAAACAATCCCAGTTCCCTCAGCCTCTCCTCATAAGTCATGTGTTCCAGACCCCTAATCATTTTTGTTGCCCTTTGCTGGACTCTTTCCAATTTATCCACATCCTTCTTGTAGTGTGGGGCCCAAAACTGGACACAGTACTCCAGATGAGGCCTCACCAACATCAAACAGAGGGGGACGATCACGTCCCTCAATCTGCTGGCTATGCCCCTACGTATACATCCCAAAATGCCATTGGCCTTCTTGGCAACAAGGGCACACTGCTGACTCATATCCAGCTTCTCGTCCACTGTCACCCCTACGTCCTTTTCCGCAGAACTGCTGCCTAGCCATTCGGTCCCTAGTCTGTGGCGGTGCATTGGGTTCTTCCGTCCTAAGTGCAGGACCCTGCACTTATCCTTATTGAACCTCATCAGTTTTCTTTTGGCCCAAATCCTCCAATTTGTCTAGGTCCCTCTGTATCCTATCCCTGCCCTCCAGTGTATCTACCACTCCTTCTAGTTTAGTATCATCCGCAAATTTGCTGAGAGTGCAATCCACACCATCCTCCAGATCATTTATGAAGATATTGAACAAAACCGGCCCCAGGACCGACCCCTGGGGCACTCCACTTGACACCGGCTGCCAACTAGACATGGAGCCATTGATCACTAGCCGTTGAGCCCGACAATCTAGCCAACTTTCTACCCACCTTATAGTGCATTCATCCATAACATACTTCTTTAACTTGCTGACAAGAATACTATGGGAGACCGTGTCAAAAGCTTGCTAAAGTCAAGAAACAATACATCCACTGCTTTCCCTTCATCCACAAAACCAGTAATCTCATCACAGAAGGTGATTAGATTAGTCAGGCATGACCTTCCCTCGGTGAATCCATGCTGACTGTTCCTGATCACTTTCCTCTCATGTAAGTGCTTCAGGATTGATTCTTTGAGGACCTGCTCCATGATTTTTCTGGGGACTGAGGTGAGGCTGACTGGCCTGTAGTTCCCAGGATCCTCCTTCTTCCCTTTTTTAAAGATTGACACTACATTAGCCTTTTTCCAGTCATCTGGGACTTCCCCCGTTCGCCACGAGTTTTCAAAGATAATGGCCAATGGCTCTGCAATCACAGCCGCCAACTCCTTTAGCACTCTTGGATGCAACTCGTCCGGCCCCATGGACTTGTGCACGTCCAGCTTTTCTAAATAGTCCCGAACCACCTCTTTCTCCACAGAGGGCTGGCCATCTACTCCCCATGCTGTGCTGCCCAGTGCAGTAGTCTGGGAGCTGACCTTGTTCGTGAAGACAGAGGCAAAAAAAGCATTGAGTACATTAGCTTTTTCCACATCCTCTGTCACTAGGTTGCCTCCCTCATTCAGTAAGGGGCCCACGCTTTCCTTGGCTTTCTTCTTGTTGCCAACATACCTGAAGAAACCCTTCTTGTTACTCTTGACATCTCTTGCTAGCTGCAGCTCCAGGTGCGATTTGGCCCTCCTGATTTCATTCCTACATGCCCGAGCAATATTTTTCTCCTCTTCCCTGGTCATATGTCCAACCTTCCATTTCTTGTAAGCTTCTTTTTTATGTTTAAGATCCACTAGGATTTCACCATTAAGCCAAGCTGGTCACCTGCCATATTTACTATTCTTTCGACACATCGAGATGGTTTGTCCCTGTAACCTCAACAGGGATTCCTTGAAATACAGCCAGCTCTCCTGGACTCCTTTCCCCTTCATGTTAGTCCCCCAGGGGATCCTACCCATCCGTTCCCTGAGGGAGTCGAAGTCTGCTTTCCTGAAGTCCGGGGTCCATATCCTGCTGCTTACCTTTCTTCCCTGTGTCAGGATCCTGAACTCAACCAACTCATGGTTACTGCCTCCCAAATTCCCATCCACTTTTGCTTCCCCCACTAATTTTTCCCGGTTTGTGAGCAGCCGGTCAAGAAAAGCTCCCCCCCTTGTTGGCTCCTCTAGCACTTGCAGCAGGAAATTGTCCCCTATGGTTTCCAAAAACTTCCTGGATTGTCTATGCACCGCTGTATTGCTCTCCCAGCAGATATCAGGAAAATTGAAGTCACCCTGAGAACCAGGGCGTGAGATCTAGTAGCTTCTGCGAGTTGCCGGAAGAAAGCCTCATCCACCTCATCCCCCTGGTCCGGTGGACTATAGCAGACTCCCACCACTACATCACTCTTGTTGCTCACACTTCTAAACTTAATCCAGAGACACTCAGGTTTTTCTGCAGTTTTGTACCAGAGCTCTGAGCAGTCATACTGCTCCCTTACATACAGTGCTACTCCCCCACCTTTTCTGCCCTGCCTGTGCTTCCTGAACAGTTTATAACATATAGGGGATCCTGCATGTGTTACTTCACATAGAGCCACATAAAACCTAAGGCCAGCCCGGACTGGGATGCTCTGCAAACTTTATACAAAATGTAACTAAAACTTGGCCAGTGCTGCAGCAAAACTAGCTGTTACCTTCCTAGACTACAGCTGAGCCAAACATAGAAAAAAAAAAGAAGGTGAAAGGGGGAGGCTAAAATGGTCAGTGATATACTGACCCAAATACAAAGGCCTTAGACCATTCCTGGAAAACAGTCATAGAAGGATTCTGCTGAACAGCTTCTTGATTCTGTAGATGAGGTCCCTAAACAGAGAATGGCTATTCCCTTGCCTCATTCAGAGGCAACCTGAGAAAGGAGACTGAGAAAACTCATCTGACCGCAGATACATTGGAGGGAACACAGAGGCCTGTATTATTAAGAGCTTTTTGTAGGTTGGGCCTGGGGACACTGGAACTGGCAGGGCAAGGAGATGGGACTAGGAGCCAGAAATGGAGGTTGTGGGAGGGACTGGGAGGAAGTGGATGTGGGGAAGACTGAGATTGGATGAGCTGTCGAGGGAGACTGGGACTGGCTAGGCAAAGAGACTGAGAACCAGTGGGGCCTGGGTAAGGAGGGAAAAGGGGATGGGGAAAGATTTATCTGATGAGCAACCAGGGAGCAGGGGGGAGAATTGGTACTGATTAGGGAAAGAAACTGGAACAAGGACACAGAGACTGGATGGAGAAAGATTGGGACTACAAACAAGTGGGGATAGAGTCTGTGGCTGCGGGGTGGAGGAGGGGGGCAGTGACTACACACCAGATAGATCACATGAGGAGCTGGGAGTGGCAGGGAACTGGGATTGGTTGAGAAGGTAAGTTTGGAGGGGTGGGATTAAGTCTTGATGGGCAGGGAGTCTGGGCAAGAAGCCTGAGAAATAGCGAATGAGACTGAGAGAACAAGTTGGGGTAGGAAAAAGAAGGGACCAGATTGGGACAGGTTGGAGGGAACAGGGTAGAAGGGGTTATGCTTGAGGAGAATGGACAGAACAGTGGACCCATGGGAACATGAAATGAGGCAGGAGTCCTATGGAAAAAATAGTTCGTGACTCTGTAATTAAAGGCCGTATTATAATGCATACACACATGGGGAACAGGCAACCTTAACTGTGGCATTTCCTAACTTTTGCATACTGGACTTTGCAACCTTAATAATGTTCTTTTAACTTTTTATTTTTTAGTGGTGGTATCAAGACAGAAGTAACTTGTTCATTAGCACTATCTATTGTGACTGCAGTAGCATATCTAGCCTGCTTAAGGCAGCCTGGCCTGTAGTGAAGTCTCCTAGGCTGACAGCCTGATTCAGCAAGGCACTTAATCACATTTAGTTGTATAAGTACAATACAGATACGTAACTATTAGAAATGAGCTCATGGCACTGGGTTTGGATCTGAGATTGTGTCTACATTTGGAACTAGGTATATGATTCCCAGCTCATATAGACATAGTTGCCCTAGTTCTAATAGAGCTAGCATGCTAAAAATAATAATGCAGTCGAAGTAGCACGGGGATCAGTGAGCAGTGGCATGGGCTAGCTGCCTTGCATACGAACACACCTGGGCCACAAGGATGCATAACCTTGGCAGCTGGTCCATGCTGCTGCTCGCCGCTGCCTATGCAACAGCAGCTACACTACTGTTTTTAGCACACTAGCTCCATGACAGCTAGTGTGAATAGGTCTACTCAAGCTGGGGGAATCACACCTCCAGCTCACAGCATGGACATATGCTGTATCTGAATTTCCCCAAACTTCAGGGGGTTACAGGGTCCGAATTCTGCTCCTCTGATGTAGTGAGCAGATAAATTCATCCCTCATGAACTAACACACCTGTATCTACCAGATTGATTCCTCTCGTAAATAATACCTTGTTAATTTGAGTGAAAAGCAGTTTATAGCATCAGTATAATGTGTATCCTGTCGTTTTCACAGGAAGATTTATACACTGAATAACTGAATATTTGTTTCTTGCCAGTCTTCCCGCATCTGGTGAAAAAGCTGAATGCAGGCCTTCATGTGATGATTTTAATCTTCCTTTGTGCGGCCATTTCCTTTGCTCTGGTCAGTTTTGGATTCTGCATTCTCAATGCAATAAAAGTTCCATACCGAGCTATTAAAGGTCCAGCCGGTATATGCCTATGGAATTTACTTGCAGGTAAAATAACTTTTACTACCAACCACATTTGAATAAAATGGTAAAAGTAAATGTGTACAAAAATGAAAACATCTTCCCCTTGCCAAGTCTGTATTTCTCCTTGGCTTATATACTTGTGTGCAAAAATAGAGTTAGCACTGTATTCCCCCATATTAGACTAAAACTATTAGAAGGCATTTCAGCCTTCAGCATATTGTAGATTGTTTTGTATGAACAGGGAATTCACATATATAGCCTCAATATCACATACAAGAGAACTTTAATAGAAACATAACATTGGTGCAATGCTTGGTCACATAACTAATAAAAGCCCCAGTTCAGGAAAGCACTTAGGCACATCTTTAAATCCATCCTTAATCTGACTAGCACTTAATTATGTGTTTAACTTTAATTATGTGTTTAAAGCATGTTTTTGTGAATCACAGCCAAAATGTCTGACTTGTTTTGAAAATGATTAATTATTTTTTCATTTTGTTGCAGGAGGCTTTACAGCACTGGCAGTCACTAGCTTTATAGCTGCTGTTAAACTTCATCGCCTCACAGAAAGAATTGCCAATTTCCAGGAAAATGTCTTTCAGTTTGTAATTTTGGAAGAACGGTATGAAAGCTCCATTTGGCTTTGTGTGGCTAGTGCTACATCTCATGTAGTAAATTTGTTGCTAATAGCCATAAGTGGGGTTCATTTCCCTGAATTCAAGACTAAAACAGAAGAGGCGACTGTTACAGCAGAAGATATCATGTACTGATAACCTTCACCTACATTAAACTAGTTCTACAACGTGAACTCTCATGAAAAGAACAACTCCTTGGTTCTGCAACTTTAGTACTGGATGGAGATTGTTGCTGTCATGGACAGTAAAACTGCCACTTTCAGAAATATACAGTATTTTTGAGGCCAGTTGTCAGTACCAGCAATTAATATTCACTGCATGGAAGACAAACTACAGAAACCACATAATTGAAAAAGCAACCAATATGGACAACAATAAAGTTATTTTCTAGAATATTTTTCATCTTAAATATTTTACATATCGGAGTTAAAGTATGTTTTCACCAAAACCAAAAAGTGAACTATAAATAAGGAAGAGAATACATAAATCGCCATACTTTGGCCTTTAAGATACTAGAATGCATTTTTATTTCAAAGCAGGAAGAACAGACACAGGATTTAAGGTTTTATCCAGAGTTGCAAGCTATTTCCTCAGAATTCTCTAGAAAATCTGAGAGGAACAAGTACACCTTGTTTATTGATGTGCTACAGAACTGGAAGAGTAAACTCCATTACCTGGAAGACTGAAATGTAAGGGAAATCACCAAGAACTTGTGGAAAGATTTAGAAACAGAGGAACAAACATCAAAAGCTAGACTCTAGAGAAGTGGAAAGAAGAAGAATATGGAATATTATAATAAGAATATTCTTAGGGAAGAATAATAGCATGTAAGAAAAGTGAAGAGCTCTCTAGCCAATGATGGGCAAAATGTTTGTACACAGACTCTAAGTAATGATATTACAATTGTTATAATAACCTGTTTCAGAGAAGCAGCCGTGTTAGTCTGTATTCTCAAAAAAGAAAAGGAGTACTTGTGGCACCTTAGAGACTAACCAATTTATATGAGCATAAGCTTTCGTGAGCTACAGCTCACTTCATCGGATGCATCATTACTCTAAGGTGCCACAAGTACTCCTTTTCTTTTTATAATAACCTGAAGATTCGTATTTTGACAGATTTATGGTCCTCGAGCCTCTGCCAATTCTTGTTTTTATCTGAAATTAAGTCCAAAATGTTGTTTGATGAAACAGTATTAAAATGAAAAAACATTATACTAAAATGGTTAGATGTGTGAAAAAGTTTGTGTGAAATACCAACACTACCACAAGCATTTTATAAACTGAGTTGCAAGTGATGCATCATAAACTGAAAATTATCAAGCCTTAAGGTAAACATGAGACTTCTTGAGTTTACCTATCAGAGTGAAACAAAATAGATTCCTAAACTATTTATAAATGACAGTTACAGAAAATTGGATGTAAAGAATTTATTTGAATTCATGAAAAACTCTTATAGTAAAGCTGCCATCCCAAATTAATTCTTAAAATGCATTTTATTTGTAGTCATCTGATTAATGGAAAACTGCTATATTTTGTAAATTGCAAATAGAAATCTTTATTTTAGTCAAAGCCTCTCTCAAAAGAGGTATGAAAATCTTTTAGAAGAAAGATCTGAATAATTCTTATACTGCTGCAGGATATTTTAAGAAAATCCTTCATTTTTATATGAAAATCCCTCTCCACTGAAAAAAATAATTTTAAAAGCCAAGATCCACACTTTCAAACATGGGTACTTAAATTTAGGAAGAATTCTTTATCTGATTCCAGACAGAGCAGCTGGAAACTCATTCCATAAGCATTCAAAAAATTCACCCATAAAGATTACAAAATATCAGGATAAGGAAGGCAGCTGGAATTTTCAATTCTTTTGGAGCACTATTACCATCAGCTTTGCATGAGTGAGAAGCTAGAGTCAATAAAGGAGATGTTTCCTAACATAAGCTATAACAGCCAATTTTGTCTTGTATTTGTTTTACTTTTGCTTTGTTGACTTTCCTTCCTTGAGTCAAGACTATGGTGAGGAGGCAATATTAGGAGAGGGACTGCAGAAATCCAACCCACACAGTGACTATGACTTATATCTTAGCAGCCCACTCTTGTCTGTCAGTGCCCCCTGGAAGAACTCACCATTAGTGTTCCCATCTTACCCTCACCTCCCAAAACAATTCTGGCTGGCTCTGAATCTTGGGCACATGGCTCTGCTTTACTACATAACTGCAGATCTCACTAATGCTGCTGTAGTTAAGGCTGAATTTAAGCACAAACTTAACTGCAAAACTTCTTTCCAAGTTGAAGCTTGGTACACAGCACAAGGCCTTACAATACAGCACTTATTTATTTTTAGCCAAAGAACTTTGGTGTAAAATGAAATATTTGTCAAATTACTATGCTGTTCTGTGAACATATAACTTAAAAGCAGCTCTGATGCAGAAACAATGAAATCATGGCAAGTCATTTATCCATAACTAGCCATAACTGCCTTTAGGAACTGAAAAAGGAAAGGCACTTTGAGATATTTAATTTTGAGAAATAGCTATAAAAGTGTACTGGAGCTACTTTTCATGAGGATTTTTACCACTTATTCCAACACATTTTAAAAACTGCTGACATAGTGCATGGTCCTGAAAACTCTTACTCACATGAGTAATCTACAGTGGGACTACACACCTGAGTAAGGATTACTGATCAGAGTAAACATTTGTTGGACTAGGCTCACAAACTGATCAAAGTGGCTCTAAAGGTACCATTAGGAGCCATTGTGTAAATAAGACTAGAGAAGATGGCTCAGAAGATTTGTACAACAACCTTTTACTTCTTGGTCACCAGTTCAAATTCAGCCAACATCACACACATAAAAATGGATGCAACATTTTGCAATAATAGTCCAAAATGATATAGCTTACAATAGGTTCATGGCTATCGCCCTAGAAGACTGTAGTACTGTTTGCACAGTGTGTAGTGTGATCAACTATCATTATCATCTGATGCCTGGGAAATGAGTTGGTAACCTGAGTTTTGTTCCTGGTAGACAAGTGCTTGTAATCACAAAAACTACCATGACAGCTGATACCCTTAGAGGAAGTCACCTGGACCGATTTGCAGGCTGAATTAGCCTTTCACACCCAGAGGTCATCTCCCCAAAATAGCGTTGAGACATGTCGACAGGAGAGGGTAGAGGACACTTGCATTTTAGCTGTCTGTACTGTAACGTTCTGTAAAATCCAAATTCTGATCACAGTTAATGTGTGCAAATACAGAATAATTCCCCATTCATTTAAGTTGGTTACTTTGGATTTGTATAAATGATAAGAGAATTTGACCCATAACCTCAGTTGGTTCAGATGCTGAGGGTTAATTAACATTTTGTGCTTTTGAATGACCCTTATTACTAGTGTAACGTCCCACATGTATCCTTGTTCTTTCAAATGAGTTTTGTCATAAGGACTCATTCAGTTTTCAACAAATACTGCTATTACTTTAGTTCACAGATTTACATTTAGCTTATACTCCCCAGGTTATGAATAATACTACTCTGCTAGAATTACTCCACTCTTCTGGCTTAAAGACCTTTTAGTGCCTTCATACATTACTAATATTTGCCAGTGATTCATATTAGTGATTATGATTACTAATGACTGAATATATATCCTTATCTATGAGAGACTAGCAGTCTGCTACAATTATAGATGGAACTGGTAGCACCATCTATTTTAAGATTGCCCAACACTTCCTTTTGTAAGACACTATTTCCAGTTACCAAACTTTAATTGTTTGGTCGATATATTCAATGTCAGGAATCTGCCTCAAGCTGGTTATTATTATTATCATTTGTAAATTTTAGCCAAAATAGTTTGCTGTTTCCAAGAACAAGGTTGGGGGGAAATATGTTGTTTTGCTCATGTTAAAAAATATTCTGGCAGCCTTTTCTTAAGAAGCTTTAGAGCAGTGATGACAGCAAAATGATTGACCAGGTATTCTACAATTGGTTAATAACATAGTAAACGCATCCAGATTGGTTAATAATTAAATCACATTGTTCTAATATTGTGTGATGCAACGAGGAGACACGTTAAAAAGCCATTTGGGGCTCCTGAGCCTCAGTCTGAGTATCACTGCTCTAGAGCTTTGGAGTATGAAATTTTGCAAGGGGGTTAGTTTTATGTCAGGAATGTGCCATATTTGGCCAACTTATATTCCTTTGAAAAATTGCAGTTCACATGTGCTCATCAGAGATTTCTTAGATTTTAGCAGCTAAATTCAACTGAAGATTCTGTCTGCACTGGGCATGCTCTAGCTAGGGGCTGAGCACAAATTTCTTGCAGTTCTGCACTGCTGTGGGCTGTGCTGGGTTTGGGTACCTGAACAGAGAGCCAGTCTCTCCTCATCTATCATTGAGCCTGCTGCTGGGCCTAGGCGTGTGGCAGAGGAAACTGTCTTATTCATATACAGAGAGGATGGTACCTGGGGGGTGAGAAGGGAAAATGGGCCTGGGAGTTGGCATGGGGGAGACTGGGATTGGCTAGGCAAGGTGATTCTGACTGGGAACTGAGGAGAGCAACAGAAGAGAGGGCCTGGGAGCCAGAAGGTGGGGGATGACTGAGACCAGATGAGGAGTGGGGGGAAACTGGGACTAGCTGGGCAAGGACACTGGGAGTGAGAACTGGTAGGGCAGAGGGAAGGAGGTGAAGGGAGAGGGGAGATAAATCTGACAAGAAGTGGGTGTCCATGGGGAGAACTGGGACTGGAGGGACAAAGAGGCTTGGGAGGAGGAGGCTGAGGCATGCTGAGACTGGATGAGTAGCCCAGGGCGGGACTTTAGGACAGGGAGTCAGTGGAGAGTGTGGGTGGTGGGGGGAGCCTGGAGGCCAGGGTAGGAGAGAGACAGATTGGATTGAGACAGCAGGTGAGGAAACTGGGACTGGCTGGGCAATGCAACTGGAGATAAGGAATAGTGAGGGGACGGACTGGGCCTGGGAGTCCAGAAGGGTGAGACTAGGACTTGTTGGGCAAGGAGAGTGGAATGAGAAGCCTGAGAAATAGAGACTGGGACTGGTTAAGTGAAGAGAATGGGACAGGGACAAGGAGCCAGGAGTGGGGAAGAGACAGGATGGGAATACAGACAGGTTGGAGGGAACA